TTTATATACAAGTGGTTTCCAGAGATTACAATAAAATTCAATGATCTACGAAACCCACAGAGGGGCCTTCCAATTATTCTACGGCGATAAAAAAAGTACAAAACATTTGTGTTGTGGACCCATCGGAGGGGCTCCAAAACTTTGCCGAAATAGAGGAATACAAAAAAAAAATTATTTTTGGGGTACTAAAAAAATACATAGGACAATGATTTTAGAGCCCCTCCGGAGACCACTCTGGTTCGGGAACCATCGGCTTCTAACCGACCTAGCTCGACCGGGCCTGACTTCGATGCAAACTAATACGCAGAGAAAATTTATGATTTTCAGATACGTTCTTTTTACTGCGTAAAGTTAAATGGTTAAGACGAGCAAAAGAAATAGGGATATTTTTAAAATAGAAGGATTAATGTATATATGCTAAACGTCATTATCAGAAATTGTTTCTCAGGCATAAACTGTTATCTTGGGGACTTATTAAATCATGTTTTTTTATTTGTTTCACCCCTTATATTAAAAATATAGTCAAGCCTGCAAGTGTACTTTATCTTATTTTATAAGATAAAATTTAAACAATACTTTCTGAAATGATTTTTCCACAATTATAAAAGATAAATTGCTTGTATGAATTCAAATTTTTATTAATTTAACAAAGTCCCACATTTTTTTTCTGTAGCATTTGTTGCAGTTACTAATTCATTTTTGAAGTTTCTTACGATTACAATAACAACATGATCCTCTCATTGACATGATCCTCTCATGATCTCTTGTGGAGCCTATTCAAAATGTAAACCTCTTGCCGAGCTTGACTTAACTAAGAGATTAATCCTTTAGATAATGGATCCCCTCCCTTTAGCAGTTAGTTGCCGATACTTTCAATATATACTGCTATTATAACAAAATATAAAACTGTGGTCCATGTATGTTAAGTGGCATTGGTTCTGTGATTATGGTGTTCAGAGAATGTCGGAGCATTGTTCGACAAGCAACACAGGTTGATATTTTGAATAACACCAAAAATTTTCGGCAATAAGTGATACAGAATTTTCAGACCAATCTCTTTTGCTATTTTACATTAATAGAGTCCAATTCAACTCGAAAAACTTATGAATGATAAATATTCATTAATAGACAGGATATTTCCTAACGATTCAACTTTTTTTCTCAAACACATTGTGACTAACTTAATCAGGTGTAACACACGTGTTCGACCGGCCGACCTTCCCAGAAGTACATGTTCTTGGAGTCCAGGGCACATTAAGCTATAAATACAAAACCTGACCAAGAGCACCACATCAGCGCATGGTCGTCGTAAATTAAATTCATAGTATCATTTCATCGATGTACGATAAATGATTCATATCCAAAAATAAACTCATTAATGCAGTCTTAAGTTCCAGTCTCTTAACATTTATAAAGTAAAAGCAAAAATGAAAAGGGGAGCCATGTTTTAAAAGAAGGTAGGTGGAGGAATTTTCCATCAGCTGGAACCGGTTCTACAGGAGAAACCAGCATCTATTTTGACATATAAGAATAAAAGTTTTGCTAAAAATAAAAATGAAGTCCGCCCTGACATATACGATACGTGGCAGGACTGGAGGCGGCTATGGCATTCCTTAACTGATTCAAGAATAGTACCAAATCAATTACTTGTTGCTATACCCATGATGCATAAAAATGGGAGAAGGATTTCTATGAAACCTGGTGATAAAATATTATACATATTCCTTCTTATCTTTTAATGAAACACGAAAGTAATTGAACTATTTCATTCATGCACTACAAAGTATCCCATGTATTGTCCTTAAACTTTGTTCAATGATTTACAATCATATCTTTCACAAAACATCAGGTATTTGAAGTTTCTTTTGTTACATTAAATTAAAAAGAAGCTGATATATAGAATCTTTGGTCTAAAGGCAATTCAAAGTTCCAATAGCCTGGTTGGTATGATTCAAACTAAATTCCAGGGGTGCCCATTCTCAACAAGGTCAATAGCGTAAGAACCTACCTCTCCCTCCCCTCTCTTCTCCAAAGATATTTTATTCCTCACCTTTCTTAAAAACAGAGCAAGCTAAGGTAGATTTAGAAAAATCGTAGATCATAAATAAATACACTTGTGGTCAGCTCCCCTTGTGTTACCCTTGTCGATTAGTCCGAAAATTCATAACCCCGTCGAAATTCACCCACCCCTCAAAAATTCAAAAACCCGTCAAAATATGTCTCCCTCAAAAATTTTGAACTTGCGCCATGAACCCTCTTCTGGGAACCCCTGCTAAATTTTCAGATAAAAAATTATAACAGAAGTTTGTCAAAACTTTATATTGCAGTAACTTAGCCGTAGTAAACTTGATAAAAATTCATATTAGTCAATTCGAAAAAAAAATAATTAAGCAACAAATGTTTGACTTATGGCTTATACAGAGAAACTTTTTTTGAGAGGCTCCAAGGGAGATTCCAAAGAGAAGGGCCCCAAGTATTTAACTCAAATTGAAACACTATCGGGAATTCAATCACTACTTCAGTTAATAGTATGAAATCAACTGAAATTAAAATCTTTAGTACTCAAAAAAAGGTCAGGATTTGAATAAAATACTTGTACTCAGTACTCAGAGCAGCATTTGCCGTCATCTGTGCTTTTAAGTAAGCGACATTATCGAAATGTGATTATTACATCGACATGAGTTCCAATTACAATGTTCGATACTAGCAAATTTTTCAACTTCAGAGTGGAATAAAATGAAGAAATTGAGAAAAAACGATACACGCACCAGGATCGGAACTACAAAGGAAGGTATCTAATTTTTTAACCCTTCTTCCGCATCTTCTCCAATAAAATTCACTTCTATAACCTCGTTTTAATGAATAGATTTCGAAATAAATGTTTTCATTTCATAACATTGAGATAGTCTGTTTCCAGAATATGTTGCGAGAAATTCACCAGCATATCTCATCCACGTGGTCAAACGATGATGTAACTGTAAATGAATTATTATTATTGTATTATTGTATTATTACGTACCAGCGTAAATTTTTTCCTTAGCCACAAAATTTTTCGTATATTATATTACGACTCTATTCGATTAACACGTCTTTCTGACATGAAATTAAATTTTTTTAAAAATCTGCATTTGTCTTCCTGTTCCATCAGGTGAGGGATATGTGAAAAATCTCCTTAAATCATATATACTTTGAATAGCAAGCCTGGAATAGTAGTTGTATTTAATTCTGAATTATTACTGATTGGGCTGATCCACAAAAAAACTGACCATGAGCTGTTTAAGCTGTTGTAATTGTTTTTAATTAGAACGCAAGTTCATCAGAATCTTGTATGAAATAGAAAGGTCTGTTTTTCCATGTTTTTTAAAAATTATTTTCTGACCATTGCCAAGATGAGTCTTCTAAAGAGTGAGCTGCAACATCAGTAACACCCACAGGCAGATTTAAGGGGAGGGAAAGGGGAGATTTTGGGCTGAAGTCTCCCCCCCCCCCAAAAAAAATATTAAAATATAACCATATTTTACTGAAAAAAAATATTACAACTATCTCTTAAAGTATTCTTGTTCATGTAATTACATTTGATAGGACCTCAAGAACCACTTTAATACCATTTCATATAGGTAATTAATTAATTTCTTTTTTTTCAAATTAATTATTGTTTTATATATATATATATATATATATATATATATATATATATATATATATATATGAAACAAAAAAACTTTCGGGCTGAAGCCCTCCCCCAAAATTACATCCTGGATCCGCTAGTCGTTTGGACACCCTTTGGTCAATTGGCATTTTTCAATATGCGTTTTAATTATTAACGTGATCCTAAACCCAAACTATAATTCTTCCTTAAATAAAAGAGATAGAAAATCTTAGTGCAGTTCATCTTTATTTAATTTTAGCATTTGTCTCACGAGTCTATAAGTACAGTAATCGCCATTAAATTATCCAGTTTATTTTCTATGGTACACTAAAAAATAGACTAGATAAAATTTCAAAGATTCCTAGTGATGTAATGATAAATTTTATTGTTCATATCTTACACCTAATTTCATATGTTATTTAAATAGTAGTACAGCTAGATAATACTTGTAGAAGTTATTTTTAAAATCAATGTTTCAAGGCATCCAATAGAGTTCTGTTATCAAATAGGAAACTTTCCAAACTCTTCAGTATTTGACTGTGTTTTAATAAATCAAATTAAAATTAGGTTTTTAATAATGAAGATCTCTGAACCAAATCCCAAATATGATAACTATCCATTTCGACAGAGAAAATTTTAAAAAAGAATTTTATACATTTATAGAAATATATAAAATACTTATGGCCTAATTAATAATAACAGAAGTCCATAAGAAAATAAAAAGAATCTGGTTGTTTGCCTAAACAATTTGGAATTTATTATACCATTATAACAGAACTGGTTATCAAACAAAGCTATTCAGGTTATTTTAACAGTTTAAGATATTTTTATTTTAAGAATAATCGCTTCTTTGAAGGTCGAACATAACAACTGGTTTCTTTCATCTTGAAGGATATAAAATAAAAAAAAGAATTTAAAGAATTTTCAATTAGACCTACGGACTACTATCGTAAGCTATAATGCTCTACAACCTATATAATATATATATAACAAATTTTCGTCAATTATTTTCAACAAATATAAACATCATAAATAACAAAATAACTTAAGATAAAAGAAAATTTATAGTACAAATGTTTAATTTGTTGCGGCTTTTTTCTAAGCAGAATACTTCTTATCTTAAACTTTATCTGGTTTTAGCCAAATCTGAATTACCAGAAAATGTTTTAAAACTTAATATGATACGTAATATCATATATGTTAATAATATAAAGTATAGTATAATATGAAACTTATATTAATAATCATATTTAAAATTATTCTGGATTATGTAAATCCATTCCTGATATATCAAATAAAATGGAAACAAAATTATAAAAAAAAATTTTAATAACCTGTTTTTTATTCTTAGGGGATCCAACAATCTTCGGAAATTTAAAACCTCCATCTGAAGTTTTAGATGCTCTGATTGAAAGTGTTTCATCACAAAGGTACAATGGCTACGCTCCTTCCGCTGGTAAGAAAAGTTTAATTTCATTTAATTTAAATAAATAAGAAAATTATTTTTCATTTAATGTAAAAACTAATTTATAAATTTAAATATCTTTGACTAGTTTATCAAATAAATCAAGAGCCATACAAAAAATATAAATTACTTTAAATAGATAAAAATTGTATTATGATTTATTGCAAAAATAATTGAAAATTAAAATTAGTTGTGTTGTTAGGTCATGAAGAAGCAAGAGCTGCAGTTGCAAATTATTCTTCACATAGCGATCTACAGATTAAACCAAAGGTAACTATTTAATGTACCAGTAAAAAAAAAAGAAAAAGAAAAGACTTGTAAGTAGAACACTAACTCTCATGCGAAATGGGCTAAATTCAAATCCTTAGTGTGGCTAATTTCATTTTTCTTGGTAGAGAATTAGATGGTCAGTGGGAGCCATAATTTGAAATATAATTCTTTACTCTATTCAAATCCTTAAGTAAGAACAAGACAATATTAATTGAATAAATCAGGTGATTTTTAACAGATCTGATCATAATATTTATATAAAATACCCAAAGTCCAAAATCAGATATTTTTACCCTATCCTACAAGTTCTCTATAGACTGTTGTAAGGCTTATTTATTTTAACAGTGAAGAAAAAAGAAAGTTAAATATGTGTTGGTAACTTTTAAAAACATAAAAATATGTGAATTTATTAAACTATTTTAATTGTAGTTTAGTACATGCGAGTTTTTACACAGATAATTCAGAGTTGTATAGAAGAACTAGTTTCAAGAAAAATTCACCCAGAGTGAATATAATCAAAGTAATATCCACTGTATAAAGATTCATGGCTATGAATCAAACCAAGATTAAGCGATTTTACAATTATAAATACATCAACACATACATATTATTTTTAACTGGAAAAATTTCTCCATAACATGTAAAATTCTTGATAACATTAACCTTTCAGATCTAAAGATATTTAATATTATTGATAAATCTAAACTAATCAAAATTCCTATTTGTTCCATTGCAGGATGTAATTCTTTGTTCTGGTTGTTCTTCAGCTCTTGATATCTGTGTTGCAGTAATTGCAGACCCAGGAAAAAACATTCTCATCCCTTCCCCAGGTTTCCCACTATACAAGACTCTTATTGAAGGGCTTGGTATTGAGGCAAGATATTATAAATTACAGGTATGTCCTTTGTAATTATTTTCTTTTGCTAATTCTTAAATAGATAATTAGTAATGTTGTCCCGTTTCTCTGAATTCAAGAAGAATTATTTACTTTTAATACATCGAAATCATTTCATCAAGCCAGAAATGAAATAAATAAGGCAAATGAGGCTCTAATTCTGGAATCCATAAAAAGTAGTATTGTGGAGAAGCAATAGAGAAAATTGTTAAATTAAGCAGATCGAGTACCCATAAATGTGCCGAGAAAAGAAGCTGTGGCAGAAAACAGACCACATCTACCTAAGGAAACATCTGCATAGAATATGAGTAGCAGACTCTCCACACTGCAGCCTATGTAATTTTGGAGCATATATGGATGCAGCCAATCCAAATATGTTTAATATAATACTAATTTGCTAATATAATTTAATAAGTTTCATGTAAAATAAAACTGCTTCATTAATTACCTTTTCATAGAGCAATAGTTTAAACCATTCAGATGACACAGACATAAAGGAAATTCAGAGCATTAAATCCTTTTTTACTGCGAATGATCGTATGGACAGGTTCTTCTATTGTTGTACTTTTTTTGTTTTAATTATGGCTCTCTTTATTGGCTCCCACCATCAGAGAATTTGCAGCCCAGTACAATTCTGATTTGGATGATGTGGTATCTCTTATGTTCAATAAGTGCAAGTATACACTTAAATGGGCTGCATCCATATGTGCTCCAAAATTATGTAGGCTGCAGTGTGGAGAGTATGCCACTCCTATTCTACTCAGATGTTTCCTAAGGTAGATGTGGTGCAGGATGCTGCCACAGCTTCCTTTCTCGGTGCATTTATGGATACTCGATCTGCTTCATTTAACAATTTTCTCTATTGCTTCTCCACAATACTACTTTTTACAAATTCCAGTGGTAGAGCCTTCATTTCATTTTTGGCTCTATGGAATGATATGTGATTTTCTGGCTGGTTCAATGTTGAGATTTCCTTGTTGAGTTTATAAGCCATTTTGTTAACATAGAGACCACAGTAACTTGGTATCCATCTAACAAATACCTCTATTCCTTGAAGAAGTAGTTCATGTCTTTATCATCTATAATTTTCATTTAAGTCTGTACAATTATTAGTTATGAATTGTATTGAAATGAAGTAGAGAAAAATCGTCTAAGTTTTTCTACTCATTAGCATCAATTTGAAACTGAAGCTTTTTTAAAGTACAGTTAGTACAAGTTACACTTTTACACCAAGAACAAAATATTGTTTTAGATTGGATTTGTCGTTATTGATATCATGGGAAGATCTTTTCAGGGGATTATGTATGTATTTGTTATCCTAAAAGCTCCAGTAAGGAGAGTCAGTCTTAAAATTAATGAAAGAAAGACTAAATTTGTGATATTAGAAGGTCAATCAGATACAAAGAATCACCATAGGAACTTACAGTTGTGAAATGATGGAAGAATTTGCCTGTTTTGGCTCACACGTCAATGTTATAGAGAAAAGAAGAATAGTAACACTAGTCAACAGAGGCTTCTTTGGAAATGATTCTTTCAGAAGTCACCATCTCACTAAGATCATCCAGTCTTGGTATCTGGCTCTGATATTTCTGATATACCATCTCAAGGTTGGACAAGGAAAGACGGTGTTTGAGATGAATATTTTATGCTGAACCTCTAGTCCATTAAAATTAGAAAAAAAACTGGAGATAGAGGAATAACTTGAGGCTTTATGTACTAATTAAAGAGAAAGTAACCATGAGAGTCATCCACATAAGAAGATTTAGATGATTTGGACATGTTGTCAGGATCATCAAATACAGAGTTCCTAAAAAGATGATGTAGGATCAACTTCATAGCTGGAGATGCATTGGCAGAACGATACTGCGGTAGAAAGATGGTATCACTAGGAATGCATGAAATCTGCTGCAGTTAAAGAAGATACGGTAGTAGATGTAAGCTGCTGGAGGAGGCTTTCACTCAATAAGTGGATTTTTGACCCACTGGTGATCATGATCTTTTGAATTCTACTCATAAGTCTAGATTTTAAACTGAAGCCCTTTTATAGCACAACCTATTCCATGACTTTTACACCAAAAACAGAATATAGAGTTTGTAAGTTGTATAGTTTACTTTTATAGGTTATACAATGGTTTTGTTAGTTTAATTTCAACATTTTGATCATGAACCTATTTGAACTACACGAAACTTAATAATCATGTAACTCGAGAAATACTTGTATCATTTTCATGATTCAGCTACAATCAGTTTTCTAGAAACTGTATTTCTCACATTATTTCACCCACTGTAAAACTTGTTGCAAGTATAATTCATTTGTCATTGAGAGCTGCTCTACAAGACATTCTTTTGTATTAAAATTTATCCGTAATTAATTATTTTATTAAACAGTTGAAATATGTCAACATTTGTTACATGGTTTTAAAAGATTTTTTTTTATTCCATCAGGAAAAGTTTGATTGGGAAATTGATCTGAAAGATCTCGAAAGAAACATTGATGAATCAACAGCCGCAATTATTGTTAACAATCCATCAAACCCCTGTGGATCAGTTTATAGTAAGGAGCACCTTATAAGCATTCTTGAAATAGCAAAAAAATATCATCTACCAATAATCGCAGATGAAATATATGAACATCTTGTAAGTTAATCCAAATTGTACAACAAAAATATTAAAATTTACTCAGTAAGCTAATAATAAAAACTGAAATTCTAGGTTTTCGAAGGTGAAAAATTTATACCCATGGCATCCCTATCAGATGAGGTACCAATTCTTTCATGCAGTGGTCTCACAAAAAGGTAAAAAACTATTTCAACAGTATATTTTATTTTGAATATGGAACAACTACAACTTTTGATGATAAAATAAGATATTAATTAATATTTCTTCCTCATTCTTTCATTTAGTTTTAAACTCTTCAACTTCAACTTTGTTAGACTGTATGCAATGTAAAAGTAGTTTCTAGACATTCATTGAAAATATTGTATCAAAAATTTTAATTCAGATATTCATCACTTTTGTCAATAATTAACACAGTTGTAAATGTTGTGTTATTTGACAATTCTATAAATTATAACCTGACTTATTATTTCAACTATTGTCGCTCTATTTTTGTTATGATTATAGATTCTTGATACCAGGCTGGAGAATGGGTTGGGTCATAATTCATGACAAAAATGAAATTTTTGATAAGCAAGTATGTTAAATATTCATTTTTCAAAGGACTTAAATTATCAAAGAAAAATCATTAAGCAAAATATTTTTTACAGATAAGAGGAGGCCTTCAAAAGCTGACTCAAAGGACTATAGGGAGTAGTACTCTTATACAAGGAGCATTACCGCACATATTATCAAAGACTCCAGAGAAATTTTATACAGACACAATATCTGTTATTCAGGTTAACATTATTATTATTTTTTCTATAATGAATTTATTTTATAATGGTATAGAGAGAATTTATTTTATGAGGTAATTTTTTTTTTTCTATTTTTCATTTTATGTTTCAGAGAAATGCACAATTAGTTTATAAAAACCTCTCACAAATAGAAGGTCTAAAGCCAATCATGCCACGAGGCGCAATGTACATGATGGTAAGCTTAAAAAAATGAGATTCATTTCATAGGGTATTTGATCCACTCATAATTCTAAATAAATGCTTAAGAGATATAGTACAGGAAAATACGTGAAAAACCTATTATGAATTAATTTTTATATTAACTTATTAAAGCTCTATTGTGGTTATAAAAACAAGATTATATTTAAACATAATACCTTAGAAGTATTGGTTTATTATTTTAATGTATTTATAAAAGTTTTATTTTATTTTAAAATGAAAATATAAGTTCTTTTGATAGGTTTTTGTTATTACTAATTCAATTTTGATTCCCTCCATTTTTAATGTTGAGCAATACGATTAATTTTTCTCTAGTTCTTAGTAATGTCAAATGTTTATAAAATTAAATGTTAATACTTTTTTATTTTTTATTGTAAGTTTTTAATAATTCATTAAATATTGATTTTCTTTCATATTTTTTTCTTATATATATATATGTATTTAAGGAAATTAGTTGATTTTTTTTTCTAGTTACTAATTACTAATAATAGGATTTTTTTTCGATAACATTCTAAACTATTAACATAAATATATATTGATAGTTATCTTAAGTGTTCTGAAACAAAATATTTATTTCATATAAAATGGTCTAATATAAAGATGATAAAATCTAGTTTGTAATTTTAATTAGTACTTCTATTGTTTGATTCTGACATTTTTTATTTTTTATTACAGGTACGAATTGATCTTGACAAGTTTCCTTCTTTCAATAATGGATTAGATTTTGTTACTAAATTAGTATCGGAAGAATCATGTTTTTGTCTACCTGGTGAAGTAAGTATAGATTACATAAACACGAATTTGTTTATAAAAGTGAGAAATATTTATTCAAATTATTTTCCTTTGACTTTTTCAAATTATTTATTTTATTCACATACGGCAATCTACTATTAAACGTAACCAGTATTTATAACACACATACTTTAATCCTCTGCACACTTTAAATATTTTTCCTGAATAACAGGTAAGATAATTATGTTTTAATTAAATCTTTCTCAAAGCATCACACTTAGCATAACTATAAAAATATTAAAAAAACATCTTACTCTTAACATACGTTTTGTCCTCATTTTATCCAAACCAAACTGCAACAAAACATAAATTGTTATCAATTATTGCTTGGCAAAATTTGTGCCAAATGAAATTTATATATATGTAACAAATGTTATAGTATATATAAACTGTAAGAAAATAAGTTTAAAAATATATTTCACAGTAGTTAATTCAACCCACAAATCACAACAATCAACAGCCTTTAAAAAAATAAAAATAATAATAAATGATTAAGTAGAATAGTTATTCGTAAACAAAAACAATTTTGAACATGATATATGGTAAAATACAATGGACATAGAATATCTAAACAAGTGTATTTCTTTAAAATGTTCCAGTGTTTCAATGCACCAGGGTATGTTAGACTGACTTTGAGCCCTCCTGGTGAAATGCTGCAAGAAGCTTGTACGAGAATAGCTGCATTTTGCAAACAACACTGTGTATTATAGTTTTCAGTTTATAATGAATTTAACCTGGTTTTGTAGAAACAAAATATTCAAAAATTTAATTTTTATCAAAATGTGCTGTTAAAATTAAAATAAACATTTATAATTTAACTTGTAGGTACTGATTTTTAGAATACATCAAATTAAGAATATTAGTTATTTTAAGCATCATAAAAAAATTTAAAAAAACATTGAGTAAACTTTAATGTTTTTGAATCTAGTCATGCAAAGTGCACTTGTACTAAAATAAAAGAAAAAATTGTACATATTTAGTGATCAATTTTATTCATATAAAATCCAAAAACAATGTGTGACAATAAATTTAATGGATTAGTAGATAAAATTTGATTTTATTGAAAATTAATTGTAACTATTAATGTTAATTATTTAGACATAACTTTAATGTTATTGAAGATGGTCAAATTTGAATAAGAAATTATATTATTATCATCTTCACAGAAATGAAGAAAGTCCAGTTTTTTAAAAAGACTTTTAAGATAAGTAGCCTTTTATTTATAAATATTTTATGTTTGTGATGCAAATGTATAATTTTTGTAATTTACAATAGAAACAAAATGTTTTATCCATTACTTTTTTTTATTTATTTATAATCTTACTTTGAAACTGAATCTTTCTTCAAAAGAAATATACTATATTTATAAACTTCAAGCAATAACATCTTATTTGCTTAGCATTTTTATAAGTTAGAGACTTGTGGTTTGTGGCTACGGCGTAGAGCCACCAGTACAATTCAAGTTATCAAGCCCTTTGTCACTTCATTCTCCATATAACTCAACAATTAAAAAAAATATATGTGAAAGTTGAAAAGAAAGTATTTAAAGGAAATTTCAAGAGATGGATTATGAAAGTAATTTAAATATACATATTCACAAAACAACATTATATACTTATATTTTCAACTGAGTTAAAACAATGGAATACATTACTATATTGTGATTTAAAATATCTAGGGTGTCCAATTAACTTTGGATGCAACTTCAAAGTAAAATTTTTTTGCTATATCTTCACTAATATAAAATAAATAAATGTTTTATTTTAATATTACCTCTTACTATGACTATGGCTATCTGGTAGGGGAGGTTAGGGGGTTTTAGGGCGATAAATAGTATAATAAGGCTTTGTAGACAAATTAATTGTCTTTCAAAAAGGTATCAGACATGATCCACTAGATGTTTGGTACTAAAGTTATTCCAGAAACTAAAGAGAAAGGAATGGATTTCCATGTGAACCTTGACTATTGATCCTATAAAGTGAATCAAACTAATTGTAAGATATATCTTTGCTAATGCTAGTCTATTCGAAATGATTTGTTATACGAAATTTAATTACCTTTCAAATAATGGCCAAAAATATGAGCAAGATGATTTAAAATATATACAGTAAAGATCTGTTGAAAACTATAAATAAAAAATTAAACACGATTACAATACTTTCCCTATCTAGTGATTTCCCTATCTAGGAAAGTAAAAAAATGCTTACTAAGTGAAAAAATATCATAATCAATTAAAAAAAGTATTAAATAAAATAAACTGTTCTACTGCAGTCCATGAATTGTTGTTTTCTAATACTCAAAAAAATAATATTGTTTTTGGATAAATAGTTAAACAAGATGATGTGGTCAACATTTACACTAAACCACTAAGTTTTTCCCCAACCCATTGTATCAGGTACCCACTTTACAAAATGTGGAATAAGATACCACTTTACAAAAGGTCTCTTGTTCCACAGTCAAACTTCAGCTGATAAAAAATTAAACAACCATGGTAACTTTTTTTTTTCTCCCTTCTTCGTCTTTTAGGCTATATGGGATTTTCCAGTATATTGAGAGATTAATGCCAGAGTTAAAAGCTACTTTGGCTCCGGAACGCAAACTCGGTATTATTTTATCTTTTATCCCGGTTACATTACTGTAGGCAATACTCAGTGCTATGCACACACATTGGCCACTGCCATCCTGCTCCCTTCACACACACTACAATAATTGAGAATACTAAATCTAAATGCTTTGATCTTTCCTTATTTCAGCATTGTCCAATTCAATTTTTAGAAATATTAAATTCCTTATAAAGACAAAGGCAAAACAAAATCTTTTACAAAGTAACATTCCTGATTTCTTTCAGGAAAGAAATGATCCCAAAGAAAAATATTCTTTCAAAAGCACAGATAAGATACAGCATATCAAGAGATAAAAATACACTTTAACAAGAGAAAGTACATTATTCCAAAATTGCCACTTTTTGAACACATATAACAATTCTTCTTTTTCTTCCACCCATCTCCTTTTCAGTGTAGGGGTGCTTAGGTGCTTCTAACCACCAGCAAGTTTTCTCATATCTTCCAGAGTCTCCTCATTCAGTTTTCATATCCTTCCACATGAGTGAAATAGAAGATGGAACAAAATAGAATAAAACAGAAATAGATATGGTATAAAAGACCGTCCTGGTCTTTTTCCCATCGGTCTCACTTCTATAGTTTTAATTGGGTTCCGGGAGACATGCCGATACCACCTCAGTTGCCTTTTCTTAAGAGTTTTATTAGTGGGCTTACATTCAGCTCTTCCCTAATCCTCTCATTCCGAACACAGTCTCTCTGTGTTTCCCCACAATTCTCTTAAGGAACTTTTTTTCTGACACAGTGACAAGGCTTAGTCTCACATTCATAAACCAGATCACAGCTCCATAGAGAAGTACTGGTAGGAAGAGAGACTTCAATAAGTGGAGCTTCATGTCCTGCCTCATTTCCCTTTTTCCAATAATCAACTTACAGATCTGGTAGTTAACGTTTACCTCGAAACAAATATTCTGCTTGAGATTTCCGAATCTACTCTACCAGATCTACTATGTGAAGTCCACCAAAACCTCTATCAACTCTCCACTACAGACAATCTGGACATCTTCTTGATGTCTACCAGTCTGAAGGATCACTTTTTTAGGAATTAATAATCTTACTCTCCCTTCTCTTTAGTTTCTCATTCCACTCTGTTACTGCATGTTGAAGTCACTCTGAGGATTCGGCAATAAGAACGATATCATCAGCAAATAGAAGGAACTGTATGACTACAGGATGTAAGTTCCATTGTCCAATGTGCATTCCAGCTATGTGTCTTTTGCAAATGGAGGCGATCTCATCCATTTATATAATGTAGAGAAGGGGCTCTCAGAGAATCACCTTGCTTCACTCCCTTTTCTAGAACAAATATTTCTGACTCATGTCCATTTAGACACACAACATCATTTGGCTCCAGGCAATTTGATTTCATAGCATTTAAGAGCTTTGAATGGTCATAGAGACTGTCCATATAGCGAGGCTAATCGCTAAAAGTCTTTGAATCTTTTGTACTCCAATAACGCCCAGTAGTGGAGGCCCCATTACCTCGGGACAACTGGTTGCCAGTTATATTCCTGGCACTGTCTTCCCAGGAGAAGTGATCCTTAGGTGTACTGTAAGTGTCCTTACGATCAGTGTATATGCAGAGTGTACTATTCTGCTGTCTGTAAATGCGCTTTGTACTGGACTCGGGAAACTGGGGGGTTGTTAATCCCCACAAGTAGAGCACATCTACCAGCCCTTGCAGGAAGATATAGTTAATGTATAACATTACTGTAAATATTTTATTTCATGACATAGAGCAAATCAGCGAACAAGCCTTTAAAAAATGTTTTTATTTCAGTAGATAAAAAATAAATAAAATTTATTTCTGAAAATATATTTTATAATAACTACATAAATTTATAAATCCTTTTAACAAATTTTGAAGTTAAAAAGTTTAAACCCAAGACATTGTAAATTTAATGAATATATTGAAACAGCGAAGCTCATCATCCCCTCTTTCCTCAAAAACTTAAGTTAGTATTGTCTTATAAAAAAATTATTAGTAACATAAACTGTTTGTATATCTGAACAGTCAAATCAGGTAAATAGATCAGTAAAAATTAAAGACATATATGTATATCTTCCCATTAGAACATAAAATTATGACTGCTAACATATTAATGAAATGATTTAACATAGAACACAACTAATTTCAATACCTTTAAATTACAATAATGAATTTGTAATTAAAGCTGTGATAACTTCATTTGTCTCTAGTAAAATGGTTTTAACGGTAGCCAACTACTTAATGAATAAATACATTGATAAAACAATATTTGGCGGTTATCACAAAGTTCTCCCCCCCCCCTTGTTAAACTGAAAGCATTATATAAGTTTTACGTTTATAATTATGCCTTCATAAATTGCTATTTTTAATAAATTTTAACACGATTTTTGAATTAAATTAGAATGTTAATCAATAATTTTATTAAATATTAAATCAATGCATTAATTGATGGTATTGGTGCTGGCACTGGCAACATTAGTATGACACCTGATTAGCCTTGAACAGCTGTTTTGCCATACTTCGTTAGTCTTTTCTGGTTCTTTACTTGTCTATATATTATTAACTGTCTTACTTAATAATTTAAATGGCCAGTCAGACTCAAGGGATTCAGCAATTATTAGCGGCTGAGAAAAGAGCTGCTGAAAAAGTTGCTGAGGCGAAAAAACGTAATTATTCGACTCCTATTTTCGTACTTTTTTTATTATTTAAATGTTTCATTATATTTATTGTGTTCATTCATTAGTTTTAATTATTCTTTAAGATATTTGCATTATAGGGAATGGTTTTTGGCTTTTAGATCTAGTGTTATGATGTTTTAAGGAAAAAGTGGGCGTGGCACTTTTATAAGTCGTATTAGACCTTATTTATGTCGATATTTGTGTTTTTAATTGTTATTGGTTATTATTAGGCAAGGCTAGGCGTCTAAAGCAAGCCAAAGAAGAGGCCCAAGAAGAAATTGAAAGATACAAGCAAGACAGAGAGAAACAGTTCAGGGAGTTTGAAGCTCAGGTAGGTCATACATAATCTGTTATCAGTTCGTTTTATTTTTAATACTTTCAAATTATTTATATTTGAAATAAGTATCTCTCTGTCAGAGGTTCAAAACAATTTTTTTAATGTACTTGCATACATTACTGTGGATACTTAACTTAAGAATTCTCAAAATAAATCGTTTTTGAACATTAGTTCTTTGAGATATCATCTGCTTTTCAACCCTTTGGAACTAGAAGGTTTCAAATGACAAAATTAAAAAAAGAAAGTTGTTCTTGTCTCAAGGCTCTATATGACTTCTACTGTTAGTATTATATAATTTTGCTGCAATCTGTAGAGAAATGGTTGAGTTACTAGAACTCCCAAAGTTTCAACTGATATCTAGAGGCCTTCAAATGCTATATTTTACCAATTTTAGGATAAAATTCTATATTTTGCGGGGTTTAGGAGAAAATGGGTCTCTTTTCTACTTTAAGCACTCTGCCTTTTCTCCTTTTCTTCTCTCTAACACAGCATTGCATTAAGATACAATTCTGAGTAATAGCTCATTACGAAGAGGATGCTGAACATTTCCCTCGCTTATAGTGTGCAGATCTGATTTTTATTTTCAAATATATTTTAATCCATATCTTTAATAAACCTGTAATCTGTTAGTTTTCGGCGCTATTTTTCGCCTCCCTAACAGAGTTATGATGCAATTTCGAATAATAGTTCATTACAAAGATGATGAAATGCTGAACATTTACCTCACTTACAGTATGCAGGTCTGATTTGTAGTTTCTGAGATATTTTAATACATATGATCTACCAAACTTTTTCCCTTTTTTGCCTCTCTAACACGGCATCACGTTAAGATAAAATTTTGAGTAATAGCTCATAAAAAATAAGATAAAATTCTGAACATTTCCCTTGCTTACATTATGAAGGTCCAATTTTTAGTTTCTGAGATATTCTAATCCAAATACAAAAACACTTCAAACATTAACTGGTGTGCTTGAAGTAGAAAAGAGCTGAAAATGGTAAGTTTGTGCCATATTTTTTGATAAATTTCGTAAGTGCAAAGAAAAAAAAATAGTCCAATTGTCGTATGTCCAGAAAAAAGTTACCGGTCCATGATGGCCATTGCTAGTGCAGAGGAGCTGAAAAGTAAGAAAATATGGGATTAAATATGTTGCTATAGTTAAAAACTTCTAAAACAACAACTCAAATATGAAAGTTACTCACTGACTTTCTATCTTCTCTCTTAACTGAAGCGTTGTCTGTTCATTAAGTTTTTCACTTCAAATTCAGTATGCCTAAAGTTTCAAGTTCAAACTATCTCTAGAATCAGTGGATTGATGGAGACAGCAATTTCACCTTGGAGGAAGAGAAGATATTCTGCAAGTTGTGCACGAAAACTCTGCTTTCCAGATATTGTTGATGAGAGGAGAAAAAATATAGCTGCCAATTTGGAATGGGAAACCACAATAAAGAAAGACTGCAAAACCTGTTAATATCACCTTCATGAAGTATGCGCCAGCAATATTGGCAGACATGATGAGGACTGTTTCAAAACTAAAATGTATTTGTGTGTGCAGTTGTGGTAGATAATTTATTCTGTTATGTAAGCCATAGATTGGTCCTGGAATTGAGAAAAAATCTGACAATTGAGTGTGATTCTGGCCAAATCACTTCCTTGCACTAGGTAAAGAAATGGTGTATTCTTAATCATTACCCTTTATGGATTGTATTAGTTCAGGTTATTAATGATAGGTTTACAAACAGAATCCAAGGTATAAGAACATTGCTTCATTTAATGTTGACTAATAATTACTAATATTAAATAATACTATTACCCTCTATTTTTACAACCTAATATTTTTTTATCAATTATGTAATCAATAAGCCAGATAAATAAAACTAGCAACAGGACTTATTGTATTTCTCAAATTTGTATTATCTTTAAAAGTACAAACTAATGGAACTCTTTTAATGGTTATATTGATTTTGTGTATGTTTTTTTAATTATGCGAATACTAAACCTCATTTAAATTTTTTTCTTAGCATATGGGCTCACGAGAAGATGTTGCAGCAAGGATAGATGCTGATACACGCCAAAAGATTGAAGAAATGAATGAAGCAGTTAATGCTAACAAAGAAGCGGTACGTATTAGTAGTGAACTTTATTTTAGGAAATATTAACTTAAATTGAAGGATTTTATTTATTTGTTTTTTTTCTTCCCTTCCTTGCAATTTTTAGGTTTCACGTGGTTTTTCCTGGGCCGGGGGAGAGGGCGGGGGAATTATGCCGAGTTAAAAGTCCCACTGGTCACTGGGATTTGAAGTCGTAATTATTTGTTTATCTCAAAACTTTTATTATCAGGTTGCTTTCTCGGCATTGTTGCCCATACACGTTAGCCCACTCGGCCACCCCGCCCCATTTTATTTGGGTAAAAAAAAGTAAGGAATGTTTTCTGAATAAACTTTCAGTATCCAGTTTTCAGCTATTTACATTCCAGAACCCACTAAATCCAAAAAATATATATCTGATCATTAATCTGTGTCTCTGTCCTATTATGAACTCTCAAACAAATGGACTTATTCAGTGTGTTTTTTTTTTGTTTTTGTTTTTTAAATGTAGCTTTTCATGTATAGTACAAAAAGCAGGGAAGAAAAAAACCTACAAAAGTAGACACCTTTCGAAAAATTCTATAAAGGCATCTAAAAGATTATTAAATTCTTTAGAAAAAAAAAATCATTTGAATGAGACCAGTATTATGTAAAGATACAGCCTATGGAACTCATGTTCCCATGTTTAATTTTCTGATTAACTCATCTCTCAGAAAATTGTAGATACTCATTTAAAAGATAATAAATTGTCTACTTCGCTAAACTTGAGCCATAAAAAAATCTTAACAAACAAAGATAGAGCAAACAACATTTATATAGGATTTTGCATTGGAGAAAATAATGTAAATGAATACACAGTTTTAAAAAAAATTGATTTCATTACTATTCTGTTTATTTGTAATTAAATAATTATTAATTCATAAGTTTATTTTTATCAACAGTTAAAAAATTTATTTTAATATTATTGTAATCTATATTAAATAAGTGGTATAAAACTTGATACTGTACTACTCAACAGTACAAACATTTTTCTTGTAAAAAACTGGCCACTGGAATACTTCTATTTTTGTAAATGGGATCATTTATTTTTCATATGAGCTTTCTAATTGAAACATTTTTTAAGTACTGCTAAAGTGGAATATTTTTAAGCAGTTATTGTTTATTTTCTTGCCTCCAACAACTACTAAATAGATATTTTCAAAATCAAAATATATTTTTTTTTATATATATGCAGAGAACAGAGTAGATCAGTGGGTGAACACTGAATTAAAGAGCTCGAGGTCCCAGGTTTGAATCCGGCTGATGACTTATAATTTTTCATCAGCTTACCCTGGGGCAAACTCAGCCTCTATAAAGTGGTTACTCTTAATTACGTAATTAATTAAGGGAATAAATCTGGTGGTTGAGCGTGATATTAGCCTGTCACCTTCCTGCCCAACCGTTGGCCTTATAGCAGTACGTCCTCACATTGTACTGAACCTAAAGATCCTTCATGGGTTATTAGTGGTGCAGGTTTTATATATGCTTTAAAAAATCTAAAATATTACACTCCAAAAAACTGTTCTATAGTTAAATTGATTTTATATACTTATGATTTTCTCTTAGGAGCTACCGGAACAAGAAAGTTATTGTTTTTGTTATAAGCTGTTTATAAAAGATTAAAATTAGATGTTATTTGAAAGATTTTTTGGCCAGAACAAAAGTAGCTAAATGTATAATTTATTTCTTTGTTTTCAGGTTATTCAAAGAATTTTGGAATTGGTTTACGATATCAGACCAGAGATGCATAAGAACTACAGAGCACCAAACTAAATATATTTATCACGAGTTTTCTCTATTTCTCTTTATTCCCTTAAAAATTGTCTGTATTAGTAGTTATGGTGTTTGGAAACCTTAATATAGAATATCTTCATGTAAAAATTAACAATATATTTTTCTTTTTTCCTGATGTACTGTATTATAATATTACATTCCATTTTGAATATACCTATAAGGATTATTTAATTATATCGAGATACTGTTATATCTATTTACTCTCAATGTTTTTGTCCTCCTGTAATATTAAATATTAGTTATTGTTTTATGCTAATAGACTATTAGGACTTTATTTTAAAGTATGAGATATTTATGGCTATGTTAAAATTATAATTACAGATGAAGTTACTGAAAGAATGTTTGTTTCTTTTTATTAATAACTATGTCCGCTTATATCATAGCTTTCATTTCATTTATGGACATCAGAAATTTTTGAATTCAATGTTCATTAATAAATGAAAATACTTATAAGATTTTATCTAACTATGTAGACAATATGTATAAATACCATTTTCATCATATTAAGAATATGCAAAGTTTCTTTGAATGAAGAATGTTAATTGAAAAGTCATCAGTGCTGAACTTGCTGGTAAAATTCTTAGGGGTAGACCTAAATAAAAATGAGAGAGTAGATGTTAAGTCTGACATGTTGGTTTTCTTTTGAAGGGCATGTAATTATGGTAATTTGTGGTATGTATAAAAGTAAGTTCAAATCATTTACAACAATACTGTGTTAACAACAACACTGTTGGCAAATAACAACAAATACTGTTGGCAACTTGTTGATAGATCTTGGAAACAAATTTTTTCGTTATAGATCCTGGTATACTGATACAGAAACTTCAGTTAATTCACAGTAGCCTAACTATTCCAGAATGATGTTAATACATCCATTTATATCTTCTATTATTTTTTAACTATCCTATGAAAAATATCAAATAAAATCATATTATTCTCAAAAAAGCAAATTTTCAAGTAAAACATCAGAAAATAATTTAGGACGACTGTGTTTAAGCTGTTTTTAAAATTTTTTTGATACTTGAAGCTCCATATTTTTAAAATTCAAATATTTACATAACATTCTAATTAAATATCCTTAACCTAATGTAACAGTATTAGGATTATATATTTAATCTCCTCTTCTACCACATAGCATTGATTCCTTTGATAGAGCGTAATTCAAGAATCTGTCCTCAACCACACATCTTATCCTTTTCCATTCCATTGCTCTTCTGTCAATTAGTTCCGGATTGCATCTTCCTCTTGTCTTCTGACCTTCCATGTTTGTTTCATTTACGACTTTTGCCAATCTGTCCTCTTCAATTGTAGCAACATTGCCAAACCATCTCAGCTGTTGTTCCTTGATGATATCCTCAGCTAAAATCCAAGTTTGACCCCATTGTCTTATTTAAGACTCGTTCTCTTCTTGTCTTTCCTTCCATTCTTCTCAAGTATCACTTCTCCATAACTTGAACTTGGCTCTTGTGTTTTTGGTGAGAGTCTAAGATTCACATGCGTAGGTGAGAATCGGTAAGAAGGATTTTCTAAATTACTTTCTTTGTTTTCTAACACTTCATTTTTATCGATAAAACTTTTCTTAAGAGAATTGAAACACCTGCTGGCAACTTTTATCGTTTTATTGAATCCACCATCTATCCATCCATATTTGTTCATGTGAGTACCATGCTATTTATAATTCCTTACTTGCTTTAACATTGTTTAGTTCAGTCTTACCACTTGATCCCCATGTTTGTTTTTCCTTCCTATTCATATAATCTTTTTTTTTTTTGTGGCTTTTATAGTCATATTGATAATGTCTAATTCTTCCTGTAGATTCTTTAGGTTGAATTGGGAGTTTCTGCAGTTTTTTGCGAATGAAATTAAGGCATCCACAAAGGCAAGATGGGTGGGTGGACCTAAGATTTTTGTATCCCAAGCTGAAGGGTCTAAACATTGATTTATTCAGGGCCGTATCCAGAGTTATGATGAAAAGGAGTGGACTCAGACTGCATCCTTGCCTGATACCTTGGGTAGTCTCAAATTCTCTTTATGTGTAGTTATTTGACCACATCAAGCTGTTTCTTGTAGAAACTTCGGATTCTTTTCTGAAATCCCATATTGACATTTTTCTCTCTAATTGCTGTCTTATTACAATGTCTTTCTTTCTCGTCCTGTCAAAGGACTTCATGGGCTCGACAAACGAGGTAAAGACTTCCTTATCTTATTCTATGACCTCGGATATTTGTCTTGAAGAGAAGACAAGATTCATAGTGCTTCTGTCACTTCTAAATGCGTACTGACCTCTCAGTATTGGTTCTTCTGCATTCCTGAGGTTTATTTTGGATTATATTTTAGGAATTATTTATTTATTATTAAATTGTCAGAAACTTAACATAAAGTGATGTTCCTAAGTTGATTTGATCATTACCAATGTTGTTTTTATGGTTTAATTTGTATGACACCATAGTCTATTTCACGTGATCTGATTTATTGTATTCTGTTTTAAAGATTGCATTTTCTAAATAGTTAAACATTCAAATAGATCGTGAATTTTATATGACAAAAATATTCCCATGAATAGTTGGTTATAAAATGTTGAGGATTTAATATTTTGCCTATGTCAAACCTATTAATTGTTTGGACTGGCAGTGGACAAGTTTAAATTAAATAAACACTTTTAAAATTTAATATCACTTACTATTTCCCTTTTAGTATTAAAATATGCATTACCCTTAATTTGTTTCATTTAAAATATAGATCTAAAAAGTAATCAAAAGCTACACATGGTAGTAATTGTGTAAGTAATGCTTATAACTTTACATTACCAGAGCATTGGTTACTTTAAATACTTATTTAAAGTGGATAGATATTTTATTGTTATGACTCCATAAAATTACTTTTAAGATCCTTGATTTGTTTTTGTTTATAATACCTAATTCAAATTCTAAATTAAAAGATGGTTAAAGTATAAGACTCAATTCACAACATAACGATCAGAGTTTGCAATTTGTTTGGATTCATGCATCCTTTATTAATGATTTGATCATTTACTTTAGTCATATATGTTTAAATTGGTCACTCTTAAATGTCCTCCAAAAACTTTTTAAGAGTGACCCCCTGGAAAAGGCTCAATTATAGAATGAGATAGATTTCCTCAGACTCTTAATCAAAGCTTTTATTAATGTAGAATGAAATAATAGTTGCAGAACAAATGATCCAAAATTTGTAAGTATGAATAACACATTATGAGGTCACTGAGTATGGCTTCTTGGTTATTTAAATCAAGGAATTCAAAGCTAAGGTTGAACCGCTAGCTTAAGATATCCTTAGCTAGTATAGCTTAAGATACCGCTAGCTCCCCGAACATCCTACTAAATATTTTAAGTTCAACTTCAAGGACAGATTTCAGGTTGGAGAACATAATATACAAGCACCAATCTTGGATAATCCCGTAAGATGATGAAAAAAAATTATATTTTCAAGAAATAAAACTTTTCTAGTATTATTGTTTTCTAATTTGTATACAAACCAATTTAAATAGTTTTCTTAACAAAATTTCTGTTTTTATGTATTTTCAGATTATTCTGGATTAGATAGTCCAGATTATTTACCAGTTTTAGGATTACCTTGAGATTAAACACTTACAATTTCTTATTTTAATTTACATAGTGATTTGATAATGTTGTTAAAGTAAAATAAAATTGTTAACGTATGATTTAAATCTAGTATAATAATAAATAAATTAGTCTATATGTCTTTAAACAATATTTCTTATCTTGCTAATACTAGCTTAAATCATTTTTTTTTTTTTTTTTTTTTTTTTTTGGCAGATTAAAGTAAAAACTTCAAGTTTGTTTCATTTCTAATATATTATTATGATATATTAATCTTAAAAATTTCAACCAACCTGAATTCAATTTTTCCATGTTCTAGGGTTTCTTAAAACAGTTTTAATTAATTGGAATTTAAAAATGATCCTGAAACTGCTACGCTATTAAGCGGGAAAATGTAATATACTTTGCTAATGGTCATTAAACTTTTTGAATTTTGAAAAAAAAAAAGTACGGAACTATATAAAACTGTTTTAAACTTAATAATTGTAAATTAAACTATTTATAATTAATAACGAGGCAATATTTTTTGTTATATTGGAGCTACTTGATCGGTTTAACCTGCCGGTGGCGCTCTTGTAAGTCTAAGGATTAAAATAATAAACGTTAATGGTCTTCCTTTCTAATGAAATTAAAACCAAGTAAATCATTTCTCGCTGTAATACTATGGTCTCCTTTGTAAATATTTCGATGAAGTGAAGTTAACTGCTTTAATTAGGAGTTGAAGCATTTTAATGATTCAATTTATGCAGAAGCGACTTTCATTAAAAGGTAACCGTGTTAAAAGTTTTTAATGTCAACCAAAGTTGAACATAATTTGAAAATATTGTTATTAGCTAATTAATATTCTAGTCATGTATTGAAATATTTATTGAAAAGTTTTTGCCGAGGTTTTTTTATTAGTAAATAATTAGCTTTTATTTTAGTATCGATTGCTAATCAGTTGTGTTATTATTCTTTTTTGTATTGGTAGTAATATTCTCTTTATTTTAAGAATATAGTACAATATACATATATATTTTATATACCTTTCCCAATTTCGTATTGGCTATGTCTTCATACAGGTATTTTCATTTAGGTATTTCGTGCATCGTATTAATGAATCTAAATATGAAATACTCAAAGAAACCTATTTAAATTTATGAAATTCGATACATTTAAGTCCACCTAGTTCTTTACTTGAATAGCTGCTTGAAATGATTAAGTTAACACTAATCATCAGATTTTTAAAAATATTGTATAGTTTACATTGTATAATTTAATTTTTTAAAAAACAGTGATAACGAAAAATATACCACATATCCACAGTAACATTTTTAAAACAACATGATAGGAGTGTGGTAAGTAAATAGGAGGCAACTGTAAAGGCCTTAATAAAAAAATGAAATTATGATTATAAGCTTGATCGATCTTAATAAGTAATGACCAGTAATGTTAATTTAAATCACTTAGTAATCTATTTTCCTAGATATCTCTAAAATAGAGACCAAATATCAAGATTAACAGGTCTCATTTGACTAAAAAGTTTTAGGGTAATTGGAATTAACTTTATATTTTCATTTATTTAGTTTTTTTAATTAATCTTGTCATAACTTCACTTTTTATAAATTATAAATCCTAGTTTCTGTGATTTTTATAATTTGTTTCAAGGCATCAGAACAATATGATAAATTAATCCTTTACTTTTTATTTATGTGATTTTCTTACATTATTTATCGTATTACACAATATTTTTAATATTTCTTACACAGTATTTTTAACGTCCATTGTAGGCCGAAATTCAGAATGAGATCTGACAGTGAATACGGAGATTGTGCCGAAAGAATTACGTCAGGTTTATCAGTTCACTATCACCTCTCCTCACGGGCACTCGTTGGTTAGTCTACGTTGGTGAGCCATGAATAGTCCCGAACTCTTATCAGCAGGTATGTCTTCAGCCTTTATATTCATTATTTACGAGTTTTATGTAAGTGTGAGAGCTCGCGCTCGCGTGTGTGTGTGTGTGTTTAAAAATGGGTGTTTTATGTACTTTTTAAATTGAAACTATTTATTTTCAAATTTGATTTGCGTATGTTATATTCTGGTCTAAAATAACTAGAGAGAAGAGACTTCATGACAGTTAATGAGCTTAAATACTACTTTCCATAAAAAAAAAAAAAAAAATGAATAAAATAATAAAAAAATGTTTAGTAATTCTTGGGCAATAAAAATAAAATATATTATTCAACTATTATTCAAAAATAGAATATAATTTAAAAAATCTGAATTCAAAAAAACAACAATTCAACTTGAATTAGTAGATGTGAAATGAATCGTTTGTTTATTTGAATTATTATTATTGGATCATCGCCAACGGGTTAAATCAATAATTTTAATTTTAAATTCAAATAATGAAATAACATCTCTGAACAGGCAGGTAAGCTATTTTTCGAATAGATATTTCAAGTAATATATATATTTGTTTATTTAGAAATATTACATTCTGTCACATCAGGGACATTTATAATAGTGTTCGGAGAGCACACTCACACTCTATTTACAATAATAAAAATAAATAATACAGAAACATAATAATAATAAATACAATAAAATAAAATAAATGTATACAATAAAATAAATGTTTTTTTTTTTTCGAATAAGTTCGAAAATAGGTCACGCGACTTCTGGAAGGTTATGCCCGACTTTAATTCAATAACGTTCAAATAACTTTCTAAACACACTCCTATCATTCATAATTTGTATAACTTATTAACATGTTTTGTTCCATGCTTCATTGTATCATAGAAATTTATAAATCTTTTTTTTTTTATATTTGACGTCGTTGTAATATTTAATTAACATGAAATTGTGAACTTACCCAAAATACCAGATATATGTCGTTACATATTGATCGAAAATCTTGAAGCAATTTTATGAATTTAGGGTAACTATTTCTGATATAGCGTTTATGTCTCTCTTAAACTCTTACTGTGTTTTTGCATCAATAAACAAGATCTAAATACACAATAATCTATTTAAAAATTTAGTTTCATGAACATTGTAATTGTTGATTTGTTTGAAAGAAATTGATGATATGCTTTACATTATGGATTTTCGTTAAAAATTGCGATCTAGCTCATTATTTTGCTGTAACAATTATAATGCTTTTTATAGTTGCCTGAGTATGATGAGTGATAAACACTCCTACCATTTTCTGATTAGAGGCAAACAACTGTTTCCACAAATTTTATAAATTTGCTGACAAATCAAATCACAAAATTAATCAATTTCATTTTAATAAGAAGATCCTGTAATTTTTCTTATATATTACTTGAAATTCAAGCTTATATTCTTCATAATGGTTGTTGAATTACTGAAGATTTTGTTCATTTACTTAGGTTTCGTGGAAAATCATTATTTTCACAAAACATTTAAACAAAAAGAATAAAGATTTAAACAAAATTTTCCATTATCGTTTTTTTGTGTAAATTTTAAAATCTATTTAATAAATAAAATTTATACCTAATCATGTACCAAAAGTCACAATAATAATGTCATGTTAATACATCTTTACTTAAAAATAATTCTAAATTGTAATCGCATGTTTATATTTATTGAATCTATACATTTTTTTTATTTCTATATAATTGTTTGCACACATTATTAATTCATTAATTATAAGTCAATTATTAACTCAGTGCAGATATAAATACACTGACAGGCAAAAAATTCCACCCACTTGATTTTTTCATGTTTTCATCTAAAAATATTTCTGCCACTTGTAAAAAAAGTTGTATTTGTATATACTACATGGTATTTGTAGATAATACTTAGTATTTATGGAATTTTATAATCTTTTTTACCTTTAATAATCAAAATGTGATTGGGTAAGAAAGATTAGAGAAAAAAAAATTGAAAAACGAACCATTATTATTCTAAAAGAAATTAATTACATCATCGTTTAGTAGCGCGTGTTTCCTCCTCTTGCCTTCACTACTTCTTGAAGACGCCTCGCCATACTTTCCACCAGTCGGGAAATGTCCCTTTGCTGGAGGATTGCCGATTCCTCCCGAAGAGCCCTTTCAAGGTCCTGCAGTATATCAGGAAGTGTTGCACGCGCTCTTATTCGTCTTCCGAGGTTATCCCATAAATGCTCAAATCTGGAGAACGTGCTAACCAGGCTAAAACCTCAATATTGTTCTGTTGAAGGAACGTCTGCACTATGCGGGCGACATGTGGGCGTGCATTCTCGTGCATTAGAATAGAACGATCGCCGATTTCGTTGAGGATAGGTAACACATGAGGTTCCAAAATCTCATCTACATAGCGAATAACCGTCAAAGACCCTCCTCGAACAACAATCAATTCTGTGCGGTGTTCCATTGAAATTGCAGCCCACACCATTAAGGAACCACGTTGGAAAGGTTGACTCTGGGAAAAATTACAGGCTGCATATCTATCGTTTCTTCTTCTCCACACCCTTTCACGCCCGTATGAAGATCGAAGAGCGAATCTTGACTCATCTGTAAAAAGTACAGCACTCCATTCGTCCATAGTCCAATGGCTGTTTTCTCGAGCAAAAGCCAGCCGTGTTACTCTGTGAGTTGTGGTCAACTCTAGTCCTCTTACTGGACGAAAACTCATTAATCCACACTCATTTAATCTTCTCCGAACGGTAGGTTCAGAAATTTGCTCACCTCGAACTTCTTCGAGCTGATGAATCGCTTGAACAACAGTAAGGTGCCGGTTTCGTAAAATTCTCAAAGTCAAAAACCGGTCATCCCGTTGTTCTGTTACCCTAGGCCGTCCAGAACCGGGCCTTCTATTGTAAGAACCAGTTTCCCGAAAACGCCTGACGACGTCTCGTAAAGTTTCATATGGAACTCCGATGGCATTAGCTGCATATCTAATGGAACGTCCATCATCAATAAGTGCCATACCACGCGCAAACATCCTTACCAATAAGAGGCATTTTTAAACTTAATATTGAAAAAATTAAAAGCTGGAGGCTAAGAAATGTGCTGCAAGAAACGGCTGAACACTGAACTAATGATGATGAATAAACATTTTGATTCCATAGAAAGTAAACATTTGAATCTAGAATCATTTCATTGAATTAAGGATTAAGGGTTATTGTCCTCTATATTAACATTCATAATTGAAAACAAACAAAAAGATTACCTATTTATTCATTAAAAACAATAGACCAATCCAAAGCAGAAATATTTTTAGATGAAAACATGAAAAAATCATGTGGATGGAATTCTTTGCCTGTCAGTGTATATACAATTCCAAATACGCTTTTGGAACTCTTCGTTTTTGTTTGAGAACTAATCTTTTTTTTTTGTTTACCTTATCGTTGAAAGATTCAAGAAAAACATTTCTCTAGCTTTGTGCTTTCATTTGTTCTAAATTATTGTACTGTTCTAAAATAAAAATTAAAAATCTGGTGCACGCATGACACATTTTTCACTTACCTCTCTACTTTGAATAGAAATTATTGTTTGGCAATATTGGACTATTACAAAATTTTCGAAGTACATATTTAACGCAGCTAAATCTCAAACTTACAGCTAACAAATCATTAAGATCACTAAAATAACAAATATCCTATAACAAATATGAGCCTTTCAGTTGGTAGAATTACTAACTCTAATTTCAACATTTTTTATTATCAATTTTAATGATATTCTTAGGAGAAAAATGTATAAATTTATTCACAGATTCATAGACAGTTTTATATTTCAACACTGCAATCACCTATTGTGGAATCAACCTTCTCACTTTCTGTATAGATATTATGAATTTTCATACTAGAAATATCACTAAAATGACTTTCCTCAAAAATGTTGAAATTGGAGTTGACCTTCTGTCAACTTAAAGGCTCGTATATGGTCCAGTGTCGATTTTATTAGTTTTCTTCGACGTCTTAAGATTAGGGAGGCGTTTTTCATTTACAAGACTATACTTCAAAAACGATTTCTCTTGTCGGTCTTATTCACAGACGACAAATCATACTCCCTGAAATATTGTTGATTATATCAAGAATAGAAATGATGAAGAAGCTATAATGAACCCACTTGGTAAAATTTAGTTCTATAAATTGGTTCTTTGAATGATATAACATAAAGTTTTAATATAATTTCCGTATTAATATAAAATTAGATTTCCGAGATTTTTCGTAGTTTAAGTATTTAGCTTAGATCACTCGCAGGAACAGAGATGGACCAGAAAAAATAAATAAGTTTTTCTTTTTGAGAGGCTTCAGCCCGAAAGCCTGTGATTTTATATTTATTAAAATAAAACACATTCAACTTATTTATTGACTCCGATAAGCTCTAGGAACCCAGCTCATAACAGAAGGAAGGACAACTTTTAACATTTTATTTTTTTCATGTCTTTTTTTCCTAGTTATTTTCTTTTTGAAAATTCTGAAATACATACAACCAATCAATACAAACTGATATCGGCTGTCAATCAATTTTTCGGAAGCTGTACGTTTAATCCCTTTTTATATTCAAATTTGAATAAGCTGCATAAAATACGATCTATTCCTATTTTATTTTAAAGCTTTAGTACGTTGGAATGTTCTCCCGGCTACACCCATGAAACCCTCTGTATACGTCCAAGGAATGCTGTCTAATCTCGAAAGTAATATACCATACCAACATCTCTTGTTACAGAGATATTACATTCTCAGAGAGATATCTCAAATGCATATTACGTTACTGAATAGTATTCCTTTCAATAGAAAGCTATCTCAAGCCACAAGTTCATTTCAAGTAGCCTTAAAATATGTTTGCAATTGGTTATGGAGAACTGAGAATAGTTTTTTTATCCCACTGAAGATATAAATTGTGCTTAACCGTCCAATACATTTTTTTAGAAATCCTAAAACTGACCGCATCATTTAGATTAGAACTCCTGTTGACCTGTCTCCTGATTA